GGACACACCTGCTGTAGGAGTCCTGACCTGAGTCTCTCTTTGCACATAAATACTCTGCTTAGAAGGTGCCTCCTCATCTTCCACTCCACACCAACAACCTGAAAGCAAGAAAATGCTGGTGAAGTGCATGTTAACTCTAGTGGGAAGGCACAGACTACCCACAAGTGTATCTGAGGAACTGAGGAATTATTCCAAGGAAATATTTTGAGGAACAGAATGTTGGCTTCAGATGAAAGATGGTGCTATTTATTATTACTGGACTATAAAGGTCACAGAATGTAGTAGGCGTCATCATGTAAAGGGCACCATATGTAACACAGGAAGTAAAGGCAGGGTTTACAATTCCTGCATCTGCAAACCACTCATCTACAGGACTTTATCTCCTGATGACATGTGAGTACTGTACAGAGGGATTTGTCCAAGCTAAAAAAAAAGACTAGCATAACATAGCAGCTATTGGTCAAGGACAGTTTAACAAACTGTATATATTTGCTAACACAAAACCTCTATGCCAATACTGGAGACCACTGCAGATGGCAACGTATGTAAAATAAATGAGATGTGGGGTAGTGGGATGTGAAGACTAGATAGGAGAATGGATATTAGGGTACAAGTTCATGTACAAATAGGTCAAAGGGTAAAAAAGAAAGAGTAGAAGTGATAAGGTATACAAGTGACAAGTGTGATGCTCTCAAGAATGGGGAAGAAAAGTGAGAATATATGTGTGCCTACTTCCCTTGCCACAAAAATACTACTAAAATAGAGTAAGTTTCTGGTATGATGTCAATAAAGCCCTGACTCTATGGCCTCCTCAAAGTGCCACTCTTCCTTTTTTTTTTTTTGTGACCAAGTCTTGCTCTGTCACCCAGGCTGCAGTGCAGTCGTGCGATCTCAGCTCACTGCAGCCTCCGCCTCCCGAGTTCAAGTGATTCTCCTGCCTCAGCCTACTGAGTAGTTGGGATCACAGGTGCCCACTACCATACCCAGCTAATTTTTTTTATTTTTAGTAGAGACAGTGGTTTTACCATCTTGGCCATGGTGGTCTTGAACTCCTGACCTCGTGATCCACCTGCCTCAGCCTCCCAAAGTGCTGGGATTACAGGCGTGAGCCACCGCGCCCGGCCTAGGAATCCACTCGTAAGGGACTCATTCCTTCTGAGCCCATTATGCTGAGGCTGAATTCAGTTGCATCTTCAAGATCATAGAGGATTGTGCATACCACCACAAAGATGACCAAATACATGGGAAATGGATAATGTACAGACTAAGGGAAAGACAGAACAAGGGAACAGCCAACATTGTCTCAGAACAACTCTGCATATGAAAGCCCACTGGAGAAAAAAACTGAGTATTTCAAGGAGAATTTCTAAAGAGGGTCTTGCAAGAACAGCCTCTGGTCTATGTAGGCAGTAATGTAGTCTGTGAAGGCAATTCCTGCCACAGGCAGGCATAAGAAAATAGCAGCTAGAGAAAGGAAGTAGACTCTGCGTACACAGTAACCTGAAATCTAGACAAGGACACCCAAACATCTACAGGACTAACAAGGTGGGCTTCTAACTATGAATCCCTCCCTGAGAGCTTGTAGTAAAGCAGGTGTTGGGGCTGCTCCAAGAAAGGAGCATGTCAGTATGCACACCTCAGTCCTACCAACCAAGAGCCTACCCATAGAACTGAAGTAGGAAGCTGTGCCCATGCTCTGGACATGAGAAAGTCTTGCCAATGGGGAAAGGGGGAAGGACAGAGACTAGCTCAGGTCACAGGGGTGAGTGTGAGCAACTTACCCAGGGAGGATGTAAGTGCCAAGTTCTCCAGCATCACATCATGGTACAAGCATCTCTGAGCCTCACTAAGGAGATTCCATTCCTCCCAGGTAAAGTTCACAGCCACGTCTTCAAAAGTCACTGTGCCCTGTTATGATGTTGACAGATGAAACTACAAACCACACCTATACTGAGGTATCACAGTCCATCTCTCCCACATCTACTTTTGCACATTCTCCTCTCAAGGTCCTCAACTCGTAGGAGAAACTAGTACCGCGAACAATAATTAGTTGAACAAATAGGTATCTATGCTGTGATTGTGACATTAAGAGTCCACCCGCTCCTGACAGGCACTTCCACTAGTATGGCTGAGGTCATGGAAAGCCCAGTGTAGCACCTTCAACACATCAGACAGACATACTCTCTCTAAATGCATATCATTCTTTACACTTCCCTGGCACATATCCATGTCAAAAACCGGCTGACTGGCACACACCACTGGCCTCTCTCTGCCCTTTAAACACCTGAAAAGTATCTTAATGTCTGCCTTTTTCTTCTACTAGTGTGGGTGGAAATCTCCCCCTAGTGTTTTATAATCCTGGTAAAACAAATGACATCTGATACTCTACAGATGTCATCAAGAGCAATTTACAAATCAAATATATTGAGCTGGACGTGGTGGCTCACATCTGCAATCCCAGTACTTTGGGAGGCTGAAGCAAGTGAACTGCCTGAGGTCAGGAGTTTGAGACCCGCCTGGCCAACATAGTGAAACACCACATCTCTACTAAAAATACAAAAGATTAGCTGGGTGTGGTTGGCGGGCGCCTGTAATCCCAGCTACTCGGGAGACTGAGGCAGGAAAATCGCTTGAAACCAGGAGGCAGAGGTTGCAGTGAGCCAAGATTGTGCCATTGCACTCCAGCGTGGGCAACAAAAGTGAAAATTTGTCTCAAAAAACAAAAAAAATTCAAACAATAGCCTGATAAGAGGGACACCACTCACCACAAAGTGCCACATTGTTGTTGTATGGTGGATAAGAGACAGCAACCATGGCCATGGCATGCAAGCTTTTTAAGATGAAGAGGGCATAATGGCCTGATTCCCTCAGGAGGATGCCACTGACTTCTTTGAATAACTCTGGACGTAGACATAGAATTGAAATTCACTACAAAGTATAACAGAAACCTGCCTGGTCCCATTGAGGGAAAGCTGTCAGAGGCTAGGATATCTTACTTAAGAGAGTGAAGTGGCCGGTCATGGAGGCTCACACGTGTAATCCCAGCACTCTTGGAGGCTGAGGTGGCTGCTTGAGCCCAGGCGGTCAAGATGGCAAGAACCCGTTTCTAACACACACACACACACACACACACACACACACACACACACACACACACAGAGAGAGAGAGAGAGAGAGAGAGAAAAAAAAATTGAATATATAAAAAGAGAGTAGAATGGGAAAGAAACTTGCACTCAGGCCATTTGTGGTTCTATCAATATGACCAGCATTCAGGTGGCAAGTTACACTGGGCCTTCACTTAATTTCGTATTACTGGAAATGGCACTAAAAAGAGATGGAGAGTCTTGAGTTGCCAATGCCACCTGTCCCCATAACCCATCAACAGCCTCCTGGTGTGGAGAATCTGTGCTCCTGAGAAGGGAGAGCACAGTGATTGTCAGACTTTGCACAGAACTCAGTGCTTCTCAGTCACAGTGGAAAGCAAAACTGGGCTGAACTCAACTGACACCTACCCAAGGAATGAGCATATAGACCAGCCCAGCCAGAGGGGAATCACCTACCCCAATGGTCAGAACTTGAGGTCTGGCAAGACTTGTCACTGTGGGCTGGAGGGCTCTGAAGCCCTAAATAAACTTGAAAGGAAGTCTAGGCCACAAGAACTGCAACCCCTGGGCATGCCCTGTGCTGAACTGTGCTCAGAGCCAGTGGACCTGGTTGGGCTGTGGAAACACAGCCTACTGAGATGCCAGCTGGAATAGCTAAAGGTGTGCTTGTACCACTCCTCCCCCCAACCCCAAGCTACACAGCCCCTTCTTTCCACTTGAGAGAAGAGAGGGAAGAGCAAAAAGAACTTTGTCTTGCATTTTGGATACCACATCAAACACAGGATAGGGCACTGGACAGGGTTGTGAGGCCCCATTCCAAGCCCACTCAGATAGTAGCCTTGGCCAGTGGATGACATTGCTGGACCTGCCCTGAGTCTTGAAGAGTGAGCCTCAGACCAGGCAACATTCACCACAAGCTGACTAAAGAGCTCTTAGGCCTTAGTGGAACATCAGTGGCAGTCTGACAGCACTCGCTGTGGGCCCATGGTGGTGGTGGGCCAGAGTGAGGCTTGTCTGCCTATGGGAAGGAGGGAAGAGTGAAAAGGACTATATCTTGTATTTGAGTGCCAGCTCAGCTACAGTGCAAAAGAACACCATGTAGATTTCTAAGTTTTTTACTCCAATCCCTGACTCACGGATGGCATCTCTATACCAACCTGGGGTCTGCGGGAACTTACCGTCCTAAGGAGGATATAAGCCTGTCTGGCTTTGCCACCTGCTGACTGTACAGGGCTAGGGCCTTGAGTGAACCCAGGCGATAGCCATGTGCTGCTTACAAGAGCCTTGGGTGAAACCCAGTGCTGTGCTGGCTTCAGCTCTCACCCAGCACAGTCCCAGTGGTAATGGCTGAAGGGGTACTTCTGTCTCATCCCCCAGTTTCAGGCAGTTCAGCACTGACAGAGAGACTGGGACAAGGTGAGGGAAGACCCAACAAGAGTCTCTACCTGTTCTTTTTGTTTGTTTTGAGATGGAGTCACTCTGTCACCAGGCTGGGGTGCAGTGGTGTGATCTCGGTTCACTGCAACCTCCACCTCTCAGGTTCAAGCAATTCTCCTGCCTCAGCCTCCTGAGTAGCTGGGATTACAGGCATCCACCACCACGCCCAGCTAATTTGTGTATTTTTAGTAGAGACAGGGTTTTATCATGTAGGCCAAGTTGGTCTCAAGCTCCTGACAGGTGATCCATCCACCTCAGCTCCCCAAATTGCTGGGATTATAGGTGTGAGCCACTGTGCCCGGCCCAGTTTCTACCTGTTAATGCAGGGAATTCTTCCAGATTTTATCCAAGACCACAAAGGTGGTATAGCTCTCTGAGTCTCCAAGAGCCACAGTATTACCACAGCTTTATCTATTTTAGGTTACCCCTAAAGTAGATAAAGCTCAAATCACAACACCCAAGCCCCTTCAAATGCCTGGGAAGCCTTCCTGAAAAGGACAGGTACAAATGAGCCCAGACTGTGAAGACTACAATAAATACCCAACTTTTAATGCCCAGACACTGACAAACATCTACAAGTATCAACACCATCCAGGAAAAGGTGACCTCACCAAGCAAACTAAATAAAGCATCAATCAAGTACCAATCCTGGAGAAAGAGAGATATGTAATCTTTAAGAGAGATAATTCAAGATAGTTATTTTGAGGAAATTCAAGATCAACACGGAGAAATAATTGAGAATTCTATCAGACAAATATAGCAAAGAAATTAAAATAATTAAAAAGAATTGGCCTGGCGCAGTGCCTCACGCCAGTAATCCTAGCACTTTGGGAGGCCGAGGTGAGCGCATCACCTAAGGTGAGGAGTTCGAGACCAGTCTAACCAACATGCAGAAACTCAGTCTCTACTAAAAGTACAAAATTAGCCAGGTGTGGTGGCACATGCCTGTAATCCCAGCTACTCGGGAGGCTGACGCAGGAAAATCTCTTGAACCAGGGAGGCGGAGGTTGAGGTAAGCTGAGATGGCGCCATTGCACTCCAGCCTAGAAAATAAAAGTGAAAGTCTATCTCAAAAAAAAAAAAGCTGGCACGGTGGCTCATGCCTGTAATCCCAGCACTTTGGGAGGCTGAGGCAGGCGGATCATGAGGTCAAGAGATCGAGACCATCTGGGTCAACATGGTGAAACTCCATCTCTACTACAAATACAAAAATTAGCTGGGTGTGGTGGCTCACGCCTGTAGTCTCAGCTACTCAGGAGACTGAGGCACGAGAATTGCTTGAACCTGGGAGGCAGAAGTTGCAGTGAGCTGAGATCACACCATTGCACTCCAGCCTGGGCAACAAGAGCGAAACTCTGTCTCAAAAAAACAAAACAAAGGCCGGGCATGGTGGCTCACACCTGTAATCCCAGCACTTTGAGAGGCCAAGGTGGGCAGATCAACTGAGGTCGGGAGTTCAGGACCAGCCTGATCAACATGGAGAAACCACGTCTCTTAAAAAAAAAAAAAAAAAAAAAAAACACAAAGCACATGCTGCCCAATGGCTTCCGGAAGTTCCTGGTCCACAACTTGAAGAAGCTGGAAGTGCTACTGATGTGCAACAAATCTTAATGTGCTGAGATCGCTCACAATGTTTCTTCCAAGAACCACAAAGTCATCATGGAAAGAGCTGCTCAGCTGGCCATCAGAGTCACCAACCCCAATGTCAGCTGCACAGTGAAGAAAATGAGTAAACAGCTCATGTGCATAGTTTGTGTTTAAATAAAACTGTAAAAACTGCCAAAACAAAATAAATAAATAACTTTCAAGCTCAGCCGCGTGTAGTGGCTGTCGTCTGTAAACCTAGCACTTTGGGAGGCCAAGGCCAGTGGATCACTTGACGTCAGGAGTTCAAGACCAGCCTGGCCAATATGGTGAAACTCCATCTCTTCTAAAAATACAAGAACTGGCGAGGTACAGTGGCTTAAGCCTATAATCCCAGCACTTCGAAAGGCCGAGGCAGGCAGATCACAAGGTCAGTAGTTCAAAAAATAATAATAATAAAAAAAAAAAAAAACAAGGTCAGTAGTTCAAGACCAGCCTGGCCAACATGGTGAAACCCTGTCTCTACTAAAATTACAAAAATTAGCCGGATGTGGTGGCATGCACCTGTAGTCCCAGCTACTCGAGAGGCTGAGGCAACAGAGTTGCTGGAACCTGAGAGGTAGAGGTTGCAGTGAGCTGAGACCACACCATTGCATTCCAGCCTGGGTGACAGAGTGAGACTCCATCTCAAAAAAAATAAATAGGCTGGGCGCAGTGGGTCACACTTGTAATCCTAGCAATCTGGGGGGCTGAGGTGGGTGGATCACCTGAGGTCAGGAGTTCAAGACCAGCCTGGCC